CCTACAAACTACTGCTCTATCGACTACATTTATTAGCGAGCCATTGTGCAATCTCCTTCGGTTAATGAAAACTTGTTTATTAACTTCTCAAGAGGTAATAATAAATCTCAATTTGACTCAGGGTACTTCTCATTCGAAGGGTTTTCTTACATTCATATCAAATACGGCGTAGGTGTGATCGCATATGGTCTATGATCGATTAATTTTTGGTTGAAATTAGTTGGCTGTTTGAGAACCACAATCACATAAAAAGGCCATTTTAAAAGGCTTTACTATAAATTGACGGTTGGCATGAAATACCATATGTTTCCCCGACTTGCACACGAAACTGCTGTTGTGGAGCTAATCCTGCCGTTCATATATTGAAATTACTGAAATTCAACAATCCAACTATTTTAACCCGCTAGATATATCCTATCAAGTTTGCTTCTCGTACGAAGCCTAGCTAGAAGGGGAAATGCGAATCCCGCACAAAATAACATATTACTTAAAATCTACGATCATGGCTCATTCTACTTCTACATTACCTGTTTTATTTTACCTCCTGCCTGTAATAAAGTCTGATGGGAACTATAAAACTATGTTTTACCTACACAAACGAGCATTGTTGCGTATGGTTATATTTACAAAACACAAATACAGTCAGTTATATGAACGGCAGCAAATTTATTAAATCGATACATTTTATGGGCTCAGTTCAAACACAAACGTACCGCCGTATGTCATTTTATATTTACTCACACTAAAAATCCTTCCGACATCTAATATTGTCTGTATTGAATTCACTTGATACAAAATATTAGTTCTTTTGCGCTTGTAATCTGTTCTGCCATGATTACTGACTTTACCGTTTATATGCATATTCTTATCCTAACGATTGCCTATATGCCTATAGTTTACTTTCATTCTGTCTCAGAAAACATCATAAAAGTCTAGACTTCACTATGATCAAAATAGATTCGAAAACTACTTGACGGAGGCTACTTGTCCCTTTTTAAACGCCCCAATGTTTGTATCATGTCTTGTTCTGAAGTCCTACCATCACCGTTAAATAATTTTGAAAGCATTTAAACTTTAGAATTTCAGTAATTTATCAATAATTCAATTTCCAGACGTTTCCTGGCTTTTGTTATCTTCTATTTCTCAAGCGACGCCTCAAGTGTGCTCGTGACACCGACCACCTGAGCGGAAATCTGTTTATCGTTCCAACAAACGCTTTCGTGCTTTATGTCATATCATACATGGCCCAATGTATTTTCTATCCATGTTAGAATAAAAACAATACGTAATTGCAAAAATTGAAATAATTAACTGAGATTTGAGAGTGATTAGAAATGTTGCCTAGTTATCGCACTCCATTCACTATAGGAAGAACAATTTTGACTCAAAAGCGATCCACACTTTATGACGTAACTATAGCTTTAAAATTATTGCTCCATCATAACTTGACAATTTATAACTCAGCTAAAGATGATTAAGAATTGTGACAAACAATACATTCCCAGTTGGGCAATTCACCAAAAAAGAGCGAAGTTTGTTTTTGCTTCATGCTTAATAAAGCATAATATGCTACCGGGATTTTGAAAATTTCGATAGTTCAAGTGTTATTGAGATTGCCTTGCGCAAATTTAAACTACTTCTGCACAGATCTTTCATGAATCACCTGTGAAAAGAAAACTCGAAACTCGATTCAGTAAGCTATGTCGAACCACAAAAATCGTAATCCATCTCAATATATTTACTGTCTTGATATTCTCTTGCTTGACTGGAACCTTGTTTGGAGTGTTTATTTCAAATGCTCAATGAAAATTGACTGCAGGCTTATCTATTTCAAATTAATACTGTGCTATTAAGATCTTCAATAAAATATATAAAATAAAATATCCATTATGACCTTCATTTTGAACCTACACTAGGATAATAAAATAAAACCTAATTGGAAGACGATTAAAATGTCCTTCATAAATTTGGTGACTGTAAACCGATCGTAACCGATTTTATAGATTTTGAAGACTTAAATCAATTATTAATTTGTATTCAATGAAATATGATTAGGCGCCGTTGCCCATGATTATTCGAAAACAAATTTTAGCAGGCGAGTAAAATTAATTTTTTTGTTTCGATTTTGCTTATTTTTTGTTTTGTATCCAATTTTTAAACATTTGTGTTTATTAGTGTTGGTCAAATTCACATATCTGGAGTAAATCAAGTAAACCAGAGTTTTAAAATTTAGTTCCTGAAGCCATTTGCCAACAAAACTTTGTTGATATCTCTTGCTATATAAATCCAAATGACTAATTAGATGCTTTTGTAGCTCATTCCATTATTCACATACATCATTATATTCAAAATTATATTTTTCTGTTACGAAAATCTGATAAAATAACTCTGTTTCACAAAAACTTTTCTCTATATTCGTCTATGCCTCAGATATTTCTTAAAATAATTTTCAGCGCGTGTAAAAAGATTAGCTTCAAACTGATTAAGTGTTATATTCTGTCTGTTTAATTATGTACCTCACCCATAAAATATTTATTTATGAGTAGATTTAAATTGACATAATTAATCTCATCAAAAGGAATTATTGCGAACTTTTGATAGTCCGTCAAAATTTAAAAATGTTGCGTTTTACAATTATGGGCCGTTGATAATTCGTGTATAATCAACCTAATTTTTTTACAATCCATGCTTGGGAAATTTAAATTTGTAAATTATTTTATGAATAGGAAGCCGAAGTTATTCCAAATGTCATGTTACGGTATATACAATATATCAAGCGAAAAGCTTTAAAACGGGAGAATTTCCCTAAAAGCCAGAAAAAACACTTCTTCAATTATTAAATACCGACTTGATGTATTGACAATGATGTATTGCTAAATCATACGATGATAATGATTCTAGCACATCATTAAATTGCATTTGGTCAAATATGGTTCGATAGGAAAGACTATTCTTTTCGTAGACTGTCATGGTTGAATTCATATACGTCATTTGATATGATTCTAAACATAGCGTAAATAGCCCCATTACGACACATTACATTACGTAATCGTCAAAAGTCGATAGATCATAACATCTCAATATAAAAATGGTCTGAAAAATCCAATACACACAAAATGTACGATAATAGGAAAATAATACGATTTTGAATTGCTTATTTGAGATCTTTTTTCAGGCTTCATATTTAGTCACCAAAGTTACCATGACCGCTGTCCACGAATTGGTGGAATATACCGAATCAAAAAGATCTACTGTATTTTATTCTAAATTTTAGTACTCTCAAGCACTTTCACAACGTATTTCTTAAAAATGGAGCATAAACACATAAAATCAATTCAAAAACATTCTGTAATTTTAACTTTCAATTAAGTAAGCGCGACTTAAGACACTGACTATCTACGACTTTGCTTCGAGAAAACTCGATATAAGTGCATAAGCCTAAAATCCGCCTAACGAGAAGATTTATTGTCTTGAGGACCTCGCGTAGAAGAAAACCTGAAATGATACAATCTACAAAATAACGTGTCTAATCTCACATGTATGATCTGCAAGAATGAATTTCATTTTTAGATTTGACTTGGACCCTAGACCAGAAACGCCTGAAACGAATTTAACATTTATCCCCAACTTTTCATTATAGTTAAAAAGGTTCTCTAATCGAATACATTCTGTCTGTCCGTTATCTTGCTATGCTATGAGGCATTCCAAAAAACTTCGAAATCTTATAAAAAAATCAAACCCTATAAATATCGCTTGGGTGAAATGGGGTAATGGTCTAGTAAATTCATGTTATTATGGCTAACGGTGACTAATTTAATGCGGCGTGACAAACGTTTAACAAACCCATGGGTTAACCCGTGGATTACAAAGTAGAGAATATATGAAGAAAAAACACCGGGGTACGAATATGAGACAAGTGTTGGGTTAAACCCACGCGTTACGTTGAATCTATTCCATTGAGCGTCACATTATAAACGACCTCTCTTCCTGGATCGCTTACGTCACGGAAGGTAACACGCCACGCAACGTTGAGAGATGACGTAACACAACGGGCATGCAAAATCTTACACCCTAACTTAATCCATATGGTTTCGTTAACGAAATATCAACATCTACGCAGATTGGCTTTTGAACGGAAACTTGCCATTTCCGGGTTCAGGGTGGATCTACTTTTGGTTTCAATGGTAAAGGAAAATGTGTGTTTATTCCGGGACTAATCTATAGATCATATTTGACTCAACACATACGTTCCGTTTTCCTACTAGTTTACTAACATAGCACGTTTACATGGTTGACATATCATAGGAATTGCTACCACCGGGATAAACTCTTTTGAACTTTTCTATTTTTTTTAGTAGACCCGGTCTTCCAGGGACAAGAACATTCAGTGGCATTTAATGAAATATGTCTATGGATAGCCTCTAGGAGTTGGTCTGTGGCGACAAATATAAATCACGTTATTGCGTTAATTGCATTCAAGATATTAAAATCGAAACCGCTGACCGATTTACCTTTAAAAATATGCAAATATGGTATATCTTTCTCAAAACGTGAAAACTGGCAATTACTTGATACTGCAGAAAAACTGGCAACATCACGGTAGCATTCTGGGAATTTCGTTTCGATCTCATTTACTGTAACTTTTGCCGCCCGATTACTGGCATATTATTGGAAGTAAATGGGTTTAATATTTGAAGCATTTGATACCAAAAGAATAAATAAAAATATAATAACAGACGGAATTGTTGTAACGACTAAGTTTCCGTCATGATTTCATCAAACACAACTATATAACTAATTAGTTCGCGTTTGGCCTGCCATATGCCTGTAGCTGACATTTTCTCAAAAACGACGTTCTCACATATGATTCACTATTTTTATCGTAAATACCGGTAATTTGTTTTGACAACTATGGTATGTGGTGTGATAAATAAATGAAGCTCATTAGTTGCAATAGTACAGACTTTCAAACGCTTACGAAACACATGCAAAAAACTCACAGCTGTAAGTCGTTCTGTTGAATTCCCAACAACTTCGTTCTCCGTCAAAACTTCACTGAAAGCAAGATGACTGGACGGACCTGAAAAATATGAAATAAAATAAGTTTTTTCTAATATGACATTGCAATTAATCCGGATCGCGTGACTTAGATGAAATCAAGTCAATTAGGATTTGAATCCAAAAGTGAGTTGTAAGTTTATATGGAACGATTATTAATGTAAACAAGAGAGCTACGCCCAAATATATGAACACGTCTGTTCGCAGTACAGTACGGTTTACCGTACCGTCAGATCACAGTCTACAAATATATTCACACCAAGCGAAGCAGTTCAGTAGGACACAAAATGGCGTCCGATATCCGCAGAATATTTAATGACGTCATAGCAAACAAAAACAAATCTCACAAAGCTAACAGAAATATATAAAATGAATAAAAGTAATAGCCTTCTGGGGAAAAATTTTAACTTTAACCACTAAAAATTTCAAAGCAATTGGTCCATTGATCAAAGAGAAAAGCGTTTTTTTAATATTTCCACTAGGTGTCCGAAAAGTGTCAAAGAACAACAAGAACAAGAATAACATAAGAACAAAACGATCGTTATGTCCACTAAACGTGTCCAATAATCCACTCGGTTGGCAGTACTTCCCTGAATATCAAACCTGCTGTCTGTATGGAAGCTCTCCTCGAGTAAAGGCATTTAAATGAATAAAACTATATGTTCAATTCCACTCCATATAAATACAGGATTCAATAATCGAAAAATAGTTTATTGGACGGGATGGAAATTTTTTTATTTAAGAAGATAATGAAATGAATTCCTGAAGTATAGTGTGTATATAGATGTGTATTATATTACTAAAAGATTATCGATCGAATGACAGATTTTTGAATACCAAACTTCCTCGGCCCCTACCGACACCAGGCGACCGTAAGTAAAACTTTTTTCTTCGACCCGCGATTTGGTGGAATTTTGTCAGACATTGGGAGGGTGATTTTATTGACGATAAAATTTTTTATGAATATGATTTTATTAGTAAATAATTTAGAGTTTAAATCTATATAACCTTTCTGCATAGTGCGAGAAAATGCGGATCCGAGCCCTTTATTTTTCGAGCCCTTCGATTTCTGTTGACCGTCCATCACCGGTAAACTTAGATTTCTGCGACTGAGCACAGGAGAAGAATCTTCCTTGTTACGACTCGATGTTTCCAGAAGAGTGTCAGACCTGCGCTTCTTTAAACTTCCCATTTCGTAGCGTCCGTTTGACCCGGATCTAACACCTGTTATGGTGGCATATTTATTAACTCTGGCCGACTCAAACTGTAACGCTATGTCGTCATTTTCAGCTGCTGTGTCATCATAGTCTTCATCGCTTTCGTCAGCCTCCACCATAAATCCACGGACAAATCTTTTAGATCCAAAGAATAAATCAGCTTCTGACATAGCTTCTATTTCTGCAAGAGCTTCTCTACTGTTAGAGTAACGAGAACGGAGAGTCATTGACGGCGAACCAAGAGTTGCAGACTTTCCTCGCTTATGTCGACGCCTGCCTAAACTTGAAGTGCTGTACGATTCCGATCGTTGCTCATCGCTTTCAAACTCTAAGATATCGAATTTTCGTTCTTTCATCTTGCGACCTAATAAGCGGGACAATGTGCCAGCTTTCTGTCCGATTTTCCCCTTGAAATCATCAAATTCGTCATCTAAAATAAGACTAATATCGGAATTTGAACCTGAATTTTCAGAGTTCAGACTATTGACATGCTTCAATTTTGGATGTGTTCCAAGTTGCCCACTACTACCAGCTCTTACAAGAGTTCTACCATCACGACCGGTTCTCCTATTGTCCAACGTCATACTCCGAGTTGATGCTGGGCTCATTATTTTAGGACTGTGAGGCGTATCAAGCTCAAAAGATGTTGTACGCTCTCTTGGTGCACCACTATAAGCATTCTTGAGTACTCGAAAGTTTGAACTATTTTTCGCTTTATAACCCAATGATTGTTTTATAAGAGGCGGTGAACGAGTATTTCTACTAACTGATTCGATAGTAGGTTGAATGTGCGGCGACGTTGGTGCCGATTTTGCACGCAGATCATCCGACGATCCCATATTTAGTCTCTCTTTCGAACGAGACTTTATTGAAAGGCCATGTTTCTTTTTCCAGCTTTTACGTTTTTCTCTTTTCAAGCTATTAGATTTAACGGGCTCTTGTCGTTGACCATGATCTACTTTTCCTGGTAGTGTCCCACTTCCTTGATTTGCCAATTGTAAGTGAAATGCTTCCGCAGCATTCGCAAAACTATCTTGTGCTTTTGGAGCTATGGAAGTCCTTCCAAGCGTTTTTGATTTTCTGATCGAAAATTTATGGGATAAACTTCCATGATTTTTCTTCTTGGTAAGTTTGTCCATCTTTGCCTTCTCTATTGATCTCAAACTTGCAAAGTCACCCAAACTAGGACCTGTCGTCACGGCAGTACGTGGCGGAGTTGAAGATTTTAGAGGTGACCTATGTGGCGATGTTGATGAAGTTCTTGTTTTTGACGCCATTGTTGCAGCATACTTTCTAAATTCTTCTTCGTCATCCGCTTCGTCATTTTGTTCATTGGTCGATTTCTTTTTATATATCGATTCTTTCTTTTCTTGTTTTTTCTTTTTATCTCCTGAGAAAACTTTATCTGAAATTGCACCGGGAGATTCCAGATTCGGGGAAGACGCGTGCTTTGATATTCCTTCAAGATATTGTAAATATTTTGAATCTAAGCTATGACTTTTACTATGGCGATCAGTTATCATTTTCATCACTGCGGCGCCATCTCGACCCTTGGTTCTATCGCCTAGTTCTGCATCGTCGTTTTCAAAATCTTGATCTGCGTTTGTGAGGCCACTAAGACCTCGATCGAGAGTTCTACTTTTACGCTTAGCTTCATTTATGTTAGTATCCGACATATGAGTGAATTCAGATAAAACCTTTTCTCGTTGAAAGCTTTCACTAGATTCGAGTCGGTCCTCGGATTTTGATCTCGCGGGAGCGGAGTTGTTTTGAGCTCGATTTTTGCTTATACGATTTAGTACGCCACCAGAACCAACCCTTGAAGAAGATCGTGCTAAACCGATTTTTTGTCGTGGAGAATCCGGATCTTGTCTCCTTGTAGACTGTTGCATTTGTAAGTATTTTCTTGCAGCCTGACCCGCACTGCTAGGTTGGCGTTTAGGAGCATGTGGAGGGGGTGATATTACTACACTTTCGGAGGGAATACTTGTTCTGGAGGAAGGATTGGGCTTCGGTGGTTCTATGTCAAAAGTTTCTGATGTGATGCTGCTAATACGTCCATCGGTAAATTCACTGTCAGAATTTTCATCAGTCTCTAGCGCTGAATCGGAATCCGTTGATGCGATCGGGGATGGAGAACGCGAGTTACCTCTAGCTGACGCATTGCTTGTTATGGATCCGTATGGACTAGCCGGTACTATAACAACTGCGGGGTTTTCATCAGTTATCCCGAAGCGCAGTGGAGAATTGGAAGCGCTGCTTACTTTACCGCGCAGATTATGTGGCACTGCAGCTGATAATGGGCTATGTGTAGCGGAGCGAGGCCGTTGCGGTTGAACGGGTGCCATATCACAATAATCATCATCGTCATCGTCGTCGTCCCATCCCCCGCAGAATATATCAATCTGTGCATCTGGAGAAGTAGCTCTTCTCTCTTCAGAAAACGGTCGGCTTGTAGCCATGACAATTTTGCTCTCTATTGCACGGTCAAAGGGGTGAGCAGGTATCGCACTGTTGCCATTAGCGACATGGTGCCGCCCACTTGTGGGCATAGCTGTCATATCCAAGTTTGTATTCCAAAATCTTATGTACTATTTAGCGATTTAATTACGTTGGTAATAATTTAACATGGAACAATCAAATTACTTTACAACTATATAATTGCTAAGGCAAAAGGTACAATTAGCAAAGCCGCTTCAAACAAGAAGGCTGGTGGAAATTCTGCAGCGATATTTATTATGATTTCAGTTTACATTATTAAAATAATATTTCCCGAGAAGACATTCTTATTATAAGGCTCTACATATTGCAGCATGACTCCTAATAGCGGTTTCTAAAGGCTCCTTTTCTCATCGATATAAAAAGTTTTGTTTCTCGCCAAAACAATATGAATTACACAATATTTTTTTCATAAATTTCAGCTTCCTTACGCTTACACTTTCATCACGTACTAATTTGCTGTAAGGCATATCACTGGTTGAGCAGATGAATACATAAACTATAAGCAGATATTATACATCACTTCAACGATGACTAAGAACGTTAAATAACAGAAGATCTTTAGAAACCTGCCTCGTGACACCACCTTCCTGTATCATTACGTCATTTTAATAATCAATAAGCATTTTTGTTCCAACGTTTGAACTAAGTGTCCTGGCTTCAGGTTTATATTGTCAATTATGTTACACAAAAAAAATAAAATGATATTTTTTGTGGACGAAATAGCAAAAATTGGCCAGATGAAGACCCCAAACGTTCAGTCGAAACCTGGTCATTTTACAATCAATAGCCCCTTGATTGACCGCGAGTTACCCGCCTAAGTCTTATGTGAAATTACAAAAATAACATTATTGACCGAAATATACATTCATTCTAATCATTTTAAGCGATATAAATAACGTTGATACCGTCTTTTGTCAAGCCTATGCTGGCATTTGTTTCTATGTATGAAAATTAACTTATGTTTTCCGATAGAATTTTTTGGTTTGCTATAGCCTTATGTATGAAATAACTGAGCTACAGCAAGAAATTTTACGCTGAAATAGCAAAAATAAAAACTTCATATGAGGTAAAGTAACTGGTAGTATGAAGGAACATAGAAATCTGTAATCCTTTTCGTCATTTAGACCGAGCATACACAATGAAGCTATCTATTTTTGAGATATAATAAGTCAAACATCACAAAGGTACATCAATTATGTGATGACAATGAAGTAATTTTCGTTGTCGAAAGGCAAAGACAATTTACTTCGAAGAAAAATTATAGTTAAAGATTATGTCTGAAACTAAACTGATGTTTTTTTAAACTAGTCTTCAACTTTAACAATTGCATAAAATATAGCCAACTCATCCCCAGTACCAAACTATCTAAACGATATATCCACGTCTCTAACCTTGATGTATTATGACAACACATATTTTCCGGGCTTAACATTCATTTTCGAAATTTTTGCCGCGCCGTATTTAAGCCTTCGGCAAGAAATTACATCGAATTGTCTCGTGCAGATAAATTTTAACTTAATGACTAAAACAGAATGATTAAGTACACTACTATCGTACCGAGCTGTCGTAACACAAAACAATTATTTGAGAAAATGTTTTTTTTGCGGCCCGTCGTATAATTTTATCCAGAAAAACGCCGGGATATTTAGTTGCGTTCAATGGTTGTAATACAATAAAATATAGATTAGTTACCAATTTTTGATAACGAACGAATGATGTGGTTAGTGTTGGTAATATTTTCTGTAATGTTATAACAGATTCAATAAAAATTAATGTAATATTTACCAGAAGAGAATAAGGCTAACCCGCTTTTATCGAATTAAAAAGTGAGTTTGGACAAAAACTGCAAATCTCAATTAAAACATTGCATTTTGTACTAGAAATGTGCCCGGTAAAACTTTTCTTGTTGTTTCTCAACAGTTTTGTGTGATCTATGTTCACAATTTAATTGGAATAGTTGGCCGACCTGTTCAATATATTGATAGTGATATGGTGGATTTAAGCTTGAAAGGTAGAAAATCGATGACTAATAGCTTAATCAGTCGTTTATAGGTTGCAACAAATTAAGTCCTTCTTACATAGCTTGGGTTTAAATTGTAGGAACCAAACGACCGGTGTAAAATCAACAGTACAAAGGTATTGTCTCCTTTGATGCAGCAACATGTGAACCTATGCACGACCCAGACGCTGTTTATTGAACTGTCATTGTATGAATCACGTATAATCAAAGCCGGAAATCATGGCCCGCATGAGCAGTTAAAAGAGCAATCAGTAATTCAATCAAGCAAGTTATAACTTAACCAAGTAAGAACGGACAAATGTCACTGTGAGCACCAGAGTGGCAACATTACAGGGCTGTAATGGAAAAAAAAAACTAAAAAACTACAACGAAACCGAGTGAGACTGAATGTGCTTTCGTTTTGACCAATATAAATATAGGAATATCATCACGAAATTTTAATTGATATGGATGGAATATCCCCGCTTTCGGTTGCTAATTCTATTTCAAATTAGTGATTCGTGAAACAGGACCGTTTACCATGTACGTGTAAGTGATTTATATCTTGAACAACGTTTTGCAAACGATGAACTTTCGTTAGCCTATGGTGACTAAATGAACAAAATACACGCAAGGTCAACGCATTTGTCGATCAGCACGGTGCTCCCAGACTTGTTTTACATTGAAAATAAGGTAAAGGACTGAATCTAACCAAGCTTTATTCATATATTCTGTGGTATGGCTAGTACCAACGCCCAACTGCGGCTAACCTGACAAACCAAACTAGTGTATGCCACTGCAGGGTGGTTTTTATCCTCCTAACGACAACGAAAATTCTGTCAATGAGATGATATACATTTCAAAATAAAAACTAGTGGTTTGAACTAAGTTGTAAAATATACATTCCGATTCTATTTGTTCATAAGATATGATATTTGATTCCAAATTCCTCAATTGTAATTTCTTCTTTGCATATTTCTAGTAATCGATAATAATTTGTCATTTCATTTCCAATACTAATTCTCATAATTATTATATTTCTGAGATCAATAGCTTTCATGTTACGTTAGGTGAATGGCATTGTATTATGTGAAATATATTTTTATTGCATTACGTATTGACGTCGGTTGCGATAAGATTTTATGGTGTGAGTTTTGTAGACGTACATACACATGACGCATATGACGCAAACAAGGGGTTTCGAAATATGCAAAAAGGTTACCAATAAGAATATTAATGATTTGGTATTTTTTTTAAACAGAAGAATGTAGTATCCACGATAACTTGTGTTTTTACATCATCGTTTTAAACAGGACTCTGGCCTGACAATGATATCTGGCGAGACCGATGTTTTTCTGATTGGAAAAACTAACTTAGTTGAAGTCAAAACTATATATATCACTGACTTGTAATAGGTTTTAAGCCAAACGCATTACGTAAGCGACTACCGTCAACATGATATATTCAACTTAAGTCGCATTCGATTTCACAATACAGTTTATACAAATAAGAAAAAAAATTAATTTAGATTTTTGTACGTTATGAAATATCTACGGCCTACGCTATGGGGGTGAGTATTTGGCTAGAAAATCAAAGGTGTTTTTTGGGGATATGACATTTGTTGGGGTTTCTTGGGACAATTGATTATAATTTGCAAGCGTCATTTTCGAATTATTCTTCAATGTGTATTTCTTTAGTTAAAGACGGAATGGAGCGCGCATTTAAAGGACCTTTGCGACTATTTTGTATTCAGCTATGTTTTGGGCTATGTTTATACTATAGAGAGTTCTTGTTTTGTCCCATCAATTATACATAAATCTTGTAATTGAATAAACTAATGTTAAATAGATTTTACATTAGTCTCGTCAATATGCCAAATTAGACGCAAGAAATTTGCACACTGGTAAGTCAACCCGATGACCTTGATATAATTATAAGAGTACCTCCGACGATAGCCGTTATTGATTACACGGCTACATCTGTTATATAAAACACATCATGGAATTGACAGACATGGAATTTGAAATAATGTGCAATTCTTTTGCGGGGTAGGATCAGTTAGTATTCTAGTAACGTTATTTATAAACCCGGTTTACAAACACGGGATAGTAAGAGGAAATTTTACAAACCCTCGCTCTAACAGTACTCAGCCAAAACCCCAGTTCTAGTCCGACTAGCTACTAGCTTTACTGAGACTGAAAAGAATGCAAGGTTGCACAAAGCCACTAACACACTCGCTGTATCTATCTCATTCACATACATCCCATTTAGTACCCACCCATAAGTCCGTCTGCATGAAACTTGGCTGCTCATAACTCTCACACCATCGTAGCTTGAGTTTCCAATATTATGATGACAGTATAACGTACACGACATCCTACAACTATGATTTTGAATTGAAACAACACACAAAATACCAATATTCAAATCATAAAGCAACCGAACCACCTCTCACATGCTATGATATGAAACGCCTGCATGAAAAATTTTCTTAATAAAACATAAGTCAACAACACGACCCGAATGACCGAAACACGAACTGTTTTGGTAAATATTAGTCGATTTCCTTGTTCGAAAACGAGATTGCAGCAACTCAATAAGATTACTTATTTGGCAAATTTATCAAATCAATTTGTTATTGCACCTGCATGATAGAAATGCAATAAAGATAAAAATAGATTGATCGATATACTGTGAATAGTATGGGCTATTAATGGTGGAGCATGTCATTACAATGGATTTTTAATATGTATATCACATATGAATACTGCTATATCTTTACTCCTAACGCTCTATTTACACGTAACAGACTATGTATGTATTATATTTTATTTAACTAAGAATTATACACTTCTTGTTCATAGACAAATGAAAAAGCTCATAGTTTATCTTTCTTTGTGATTTTTAGCTATTGGCGATTTACTGGCTATTCCTTCTAAAATAACCTCCGACCAAGATTTAATAATTACCACTATTACTGTTTTAGAATGTATTGGGGATAGGTTAACTGGAATTTTTCTTGTTATAGCCTACCCGATTGCCAATGGCGAGGTGGGCTAGAAGTATACCAGTCCTCTAAGACTTCCCGCCCTAAAGCAAATATGACTTTATCGACATACAAATAGTTGAGGAATGAAAACCTGGAATAAGTCAC